CATAGAAGAAGAAATGTGCTGTTTACCTGTGCAAAGAAAGAAACAACGAAAGAAAAATGTCTGAGGACTTCAGTGTTGAGGAAGAGCATGAGTTCTTTGCCGAGCTGAATGCGCTGGTTTGGTCTGCCGGCTTCCGTAGAATCGTGAGCGCGCATGGGGGCGCTATTAGGAAATCCTATACACTACTGTTTATGCTCTAAAAACATTCTAAATGACTTCGTTTCGAGTAAATTCTGGATGCTACCCACTCAGGACACTTGGATTACATTGGACGAGCAGTATGGAGGAATATTGACACGTTTTTGTGGACTTTTATGGACCTTTCTGTCTCGGGCGCCATGGACCTCCATTATTTGAATGTCATCAGACAGCAAGAAGCCTCCCAGATCTCCAGATGCATTTGAGATATCAAAAAAGTACTCCAGAGTGTTGTTCAGCATGGAGGTGAGTAGAAAATGAAGGCTAATCATGTTTTGGGTGTACTATTCCTTTAAACATGTATATAAATGTAGTCTTTATCCGACAATATTGTCCCAAAAGTTAAAAAATTTCCATTTTAAGAAAATCCTGTCTTAAAATCATTATTATTATTTTTTTTTATCTTATGCAGACCAGTTAGTTCTACGTCAGCCTGAACACCTAAATTCAGCCAATCATATATCAACGGTCTGTCAATCAAATTTTTTCGGTCATAGCATCTTGATTCATACAGGTGCTGGTCATAAAATTAGAATATCATGAAAAAGTAGATTGATTTCAGTAATTCCATTTAAAAAGTGAAACTTGTATATTATATTCATACATTACATACAAACTCATATATTTCAGATGTTTATTTTGTTTAATTTTGATGATTACAAATGACAACAAATGAAAATCTCAAATTCATCATATCAGAAAATTAGAATATTGTGAAAAGGTTCAAAATTGATGGCCCCTGGTGCCACACTCTAATCAGCTAATTAACTCAAACCACCTGCAAAAGCCTTTAAATGGTCTTTCAGTCTAGTTCTATAGGCTACACAATCATGGGGAAGACTGCTGACTTGACAGTTGTCCAAAAGACGACCATCGACACCTTGCACAAGGAGGGCAAGACACAAAAGGTCATCGCTAAAGAGGCTGGCTGTTCACAGAGCTCAGTGTCCAAGCACATTAATAGAGAGGCGAAGGGAAGGAAAAGATGTGGTCGAAAAAAGTGTACAAGCAAGAGAGATAACCGCACCCTGGAGAGGATTGTGAAACAAAACCCATTCAAAAATGTGGGGGAGATTCACAAAGAGTGGACTGCAGCTGGAGTGAGTGCTTCAAGAACCACCACACACAGACGTATGAAAGACATGGGTTTCTGCTGTCGCATTCCTTGTGTCAAGCCACTCTTGAACCACAGACAGCGTCAGAAGCGTCTTGCCTGGGCTAAAGAGAAACAGGACTGGACTGCTGGTGAGTGGTCCAAAGTCATGTTCTCTGATGAAAGTAAATTTTGCATTTCCTTTGGAAATCAAGGTCCCAGAGTCTGGAGGAAAAGAAGAGAGGCACTTCATCCACGTTGCTTGAAGTCCAGTGTAAAGTTTCCACAGTCAGTGATGGTTTGGGGTGCCATGTCATCTGCTGGTGTTGGTCCATTGTGTTTTCTGAGGTCCAGGGTCAACGCAGCCACATACCAGGAAGTTTTAGAGCACTTCATGCTTCCTGCAGCTGACCAACTTTTTGGAGATGCAGATTTCATTTTCCAACAGGACTTGGCACCTGCACACAGTGCCAAAGCTACCAGTACCTGGTTGAAGGACCATGGTATCCCTGTTCTTAATTGGCCAGCAAACTCTCCTGACCTTAACCCCATAGAAAATCTATGGGGTATTGTGAAGAAGAAGATGCAATACACCAGACCCAACAATTCAGAAGAGCTAAAAGCCACTATTAGAGCAACCTGGGCTATCATAACACCTGAGCAGTGCCACAGACTGATCGACTCCATGCCACGCCGCATTGCTGCAGTAATACAGGCCAAAGGAGGCCCAACTAAATACTGAGTGCTGTACATGCTCATACTTTTCATGTTCATACTTTTCAGTTGGCCAACATTTCTATAAATCCTTTGTTTTTATTGGTCTTCAGTAATATTCTAATTTTCTGATATGATGAATTTGAGATTTTCATTTGTTGTCATTTGTAATCATCAAAATTAAACAAAATAAACATCTGAAATATATGAGTTTTTATGTAATGTATGAATATAATATACAAGTTTCACTTTTTAAATGGAATTACTGAAATCAATCTACTTTTTCATGATATTCTAATTTTATGACCAGCACCTGTATGTCGCAGCTAATATACGCAAAGGTTAAAATCAGAATAATTTCCTTTCCCATTGAGTTACGTCCCAGTGTTCACGGGGATGGACGTCTGTGTCTTCGGCAGGCGTAGAGCTAACAGAACTGGCACCAATTTAGTGCTACTTGGTCCCAATGGAATTTCACATTGGGACCAAGTAGCACTAAGTTGCTAACTGGTTAGCAAGATGATTCTGACAAACCCGCCACAACCAAACTGCTCTTGAACCTTCCGCCACAACAATCCCGCCCCCTTGATAATCGACCAATCACATTCACTTTATTCACTCGTGTAAAGTCGGGCAAAACTCCGGAGAATTCGGAAATGCTACAGTTGGAACAGCCGCTTCCATATTACTTTAAAGTCACAGTTGTGTCTCTAACTTGGTTTGTTTTATTGACTGAAAGGTGCAAATGCACTGCAAACACAAATAGTACTGCGATGACTACAGTGAACCCTGCAATCACCAACATGAGACAGCCTGCTCCGCTCTGAGATTACCCCTGGTTCCAGGTCCTGACCACAATGACTGATCCACTGACCTAAAAGAAGGAAGGGTCACATCAAGATGTATGAGATCAGTGATATATGTGTGCTGTATGGCGGGAAATGTCATGATGATAGCGCCAGGAGCTATTCTGATCACTCACTTCATTTACCTGCTTTTCCCTCCTTGCTCTCTGATTATCATTCAACGTATTCGCCTGCTTCCTCTGCTATATTTACGGTTCAGCCCAGCTATCGGGGCCAGATCATTACTCGTTAATTCGTTAGTATTTCTTACTTTATTTGTGTCCCGTAAAAATTCAAAAAATATCCACTGGACTTGGTTTTCAAGATTTGAAGACGTTTCGCCACCTCTCCAGGAAGCTTTCTCAATTCAAAAGAAAGCTTCCTGGAGAGGTGGCGAAACGTCTTCAAATCTTGAAAACCAAGTCCAGTGGATATTTTTTGAATTTTTACGGGATGACTATGACCTGGATGACTGAGAACCTTCATCAGCATATTTATTTGTGTCCGTTATTCATTTTTGATTTATGAGAGTTAGTTACTTTCTTGTTCATGTTCTGACTCTTGGAGGCCAGTGGATTAAGAAGGTTTGGTGTTTGTCTCCTGCCTCCTGATCATGTCCAGAGGGTGCCAAGGATCCCTTCCTAGGGGTTTTGTGTTACTGTTGGGATCTGGGGTTCTGTCTACCTTTCTCCACCAGAGGGCGTATTGGATCTCCTGAAGCTGGAGCTGACTTCAACAGCTGTTTCTAATCTGCTCATCAGGAGACCAGTACTTAAGCGGGCTGAGAACCTCACTCCAGTGCCAGAGTGTAAGTCAGTCACGGTACAGCAAACCCTGAGCCAACCAGTCTGTCTAGTCTCCTGACTACGAGACCTGAACGTGAACCTGATCCTTTGTCTTCTCTGTTTCCCAGGTTGAACCTGTCTGAAACCAGAAACCACTATGAGCCCTCAGGGTTTTGGCTCAGCGTGCGGGGGAGGTCAGATTTAGTCCAGTAAGCCTGTCTCTTAGGCGGAGACCAGTTTAAAGTTCTGCAGTAATTCTGGTACCATGTCTTGTCTCTGTCTCTCTACCACTGAGCCCATCTGTCTCCATCTGAGCGTTTCTGTCTGAACTCGCCACTGGACTCATGGAACTCTAAACGCTCTCAACATTCCTTGAACCCTGGATCTGTCTGTTCCTGTTCGGATCAGAATGCCTAGTCGGGCCCTATTCCGTTTCTGAACTGTTTCCCTGACCTGGATCACATTCCTGCCTGCTCACTGAGGCTGCTGCTTCCGGGACACTGGTGGGCGGCTCTTGGCTGCATCTCGTTTGACAGTCCATCGGCTGGATCCTGCCTTCCTCGGATAGGATGAACTGAACAGTAAACGAGGTAAGTGTTGCACGGTGTAATAAACTCACTCTGATTATCATCTCCTGTCAGATGATCATGGTCACTTACCTATGTGTCTGCCTCCAGAGCGTCAGTGATTGGGCGGTGACCCGCTCCCCCTTCTGCAGCCATTGCAGCCCGCTTATCCTCAGCAGTCCGTTCGGTTTTGTTCTATTATTTTCTGTCATTAAATGTTTTGAAACTTCCCATTGTCTGACTCGCCTTGAATACTGAGTCCATCTGTCCCAGTTTATGACAGGAAAAAGCCATTTAAAGACAAAATAAGAGAATATTAAAATGAATGCTAAAGTTAACCCGCAGCCAGTGAAGTGAACTTAAACCTGGGAGATTTGTTTAAACGTGTCTCAGTTAAAAGCATTGGATGCAACTCAGATCTGTACCCAGAAGCTGTCAGAATCCGTTTGTATTTTTTAAAACGGATCAATTCAAAGCACACAGCAGGAGTCTGGCTCATCCCGTGTCTTTTTTTGGAGCATCTCTGCATGTTTTGTTTTTTAAAGACAGGGACAGTAAGCCTTTACCTCAGCGACCCTGATTCACAGCCTCCTGGGATGATTATGAATCTAATAATTAAACATTTATAGCCAACAACACCTGCTCTCCGGACCCCCTCAGCCCCATACTCCCCTCCAGGGACCCCATCAGAGAGAGGGAGGAGAGGAGAGGGGAGAGAGAGAGAGAGGGAGGAGGAGCTAGAGGGAGGGGTTGGAGAGCGGAGAACAATCTGAAGGGTCAACATCACTTCGCTGGATTCTTCCACAGCAGCAAGAGGCTGTTGTTCAGGGTGACGGCAGACGGCATGTGAAGTTATTTAATCCCAGAACAATAGAAACAAGGAGGACAGCCCGATCCGATGCTCAGGGGGAGTCACAGCAGGACCCCCATCACCCCCCCTCTGCAGGCTGACAACCGATTTCCACCAACTTTACTTCTATTTCTACTCACTTTACACTTTTCTGATTTATTTTCTCCCACGTGTGGAAGCCTGAGCAGAGCATCACTTGAAGAAAGCCTGACTTTCAGGAGGACAAGCTGAGAGGAAGCAGCCAGAGCAGCGGGGCTGCAGGTCCCTCTGGGGGGGCACCATGCTGCGCTACCTGATCAAGACCCTGCTGCAGATGAATCTATTCACCGACACCATCAGGAACCCATCCAACGGCAGCGATCTGTTCTTCAACGAGTCTCTGCCGTCCTTTAACAGCTCGCTGCTGGACTGGGGGAACTTCACGGGCTCCAACGGTGAGTGATCAGGGTTCCTTTACGCCTTCACCCACTCAGGCAGCAGATCATGCTGACAGGAGAAGTTAGGAGCTGATGGACATGAGGGGCGGGATGTCCTGATGTCCTCACAGATTAGCAGCTATGATCCTGGGTTCTCCTTCCATGCAGATAATGAGATGAAACTTTCCGTGGAAGGTTTCTGTTAGCAGGGGAATCAGATGGCTGTGAGTGAAAAGTGGTTTGCTCTGGTAGATGAAGCTGTGAACTCTCCTGAACTTCTCTCTCCTCATCCTCGCCACGGTGAGCTGATCACACCAAGGCTCTGTTTCTTTATAGGTTCTGATCCTGCATGGGCTGAAGGTCTAATGAGGTTCACCCAGGCTGGGTGTTACTCTGACTGTTTCACTGCATACATGCATTCAGATAAGCATGTGTGTGTGTGTGTGTGTGTGTGAGAGCAAACAGCTGAGTTAAGCCATCAGATCACCTTGATGCCGTCTGTAATGGGAGCACTGGCTTTGACTCCATGTCGGTGCATGCCAATGAAAGCGGTTTAAAGCCCACAGATCGCTGTCATTTCTGCTCATCATGTTATGGGGTGTTAATACTGGTTTCATTCTTCCTTTTCCAGTATTGTACTGGTTTTTCAGACCTCCTGCTGTTTGTTTGGTCTAAGCCAACCAGCAGCATCCCTGTCTCTGTGCTCCAGTTTGGGTGCAGATGGCAGATCTTTGGCCATCTGAAGAGGGTCAAGCAGCACCTATCCTTCCATTGCTGCTCTTTAAAGCGCTCACTGCTCTTTGGTTTTTGTTCTTTTTGGCCCAAACGTGTGATGGATTGCAAATGGAGGGGCTGGTTCTATAGATACACTATATTGCCAAAAGTATTTGCTCACCTGCCTTGACTCACATATGAGCTTAAGTGACATCCCGTTCCTAATCCATAGGGTTCAATATGACGTCGGTCCACCCTTTGCAGCTAGAACAGCTTCAACTCTTCTGGGAAGGCTGTCCACAAGGTTTAGGAGTGTGTTTATGGGAATTTTTGACCATTCTTCCAGAAGCGCATTTGTGAGGTCGCACACTGATGTTGGACGAGAAGGCCTGGCTCTCAGTCTCCGCTCTAATTCATCCCAAAGGTGTTCTATCGGGTTGAGGTCAGGACTCTGTGCAGGCCAGTCAAGTTCATCCACACCAGACTCTGTCATCCATGTCTTTATGGACCTTGCTTTGTGCACTGGTGCACAGTCATGTTGGAAGAGGAAGGGGCCAGCTCCAAACTGTTCCCACAAAGTTGGGAGCATGGAATTGTCCAAAATGTCTTGGTATGCTGAAGCATTCAGAGTTCCTTTCACTGGAACTAAGGGGCCAAGCCCAGCTCCTGAAAAACAACCTCACACCATAATCCCCCCTCCACCAAACTTTACACTTGGCACAATGCAGTCAGACAAGTACCGTTCTCCTGGCAACCGCCAAACCCAGACCCGTCCATCAGATTGCCAGATGGAGAAGCGCGATTCGTCACTCCAGAGAACGCGTCTCCACTGCTCTAGAGTCCAGTGGCGGCGTGCTTTACACCACCGCATCCGACGCTTTGCATTGCACTTGGTGATGTATGGCTTGGATGCAGCTGCTCGACCATGGAAACCCATTCCATGAAGCTCTCTGCGCACTGTTCTTGAGCTAATCTGAAGGCCACATGAAGTTTGGAGGTCTGTAGTGATTGACTCTGCAGAAAGTTGGCGACCTCTTCGCACTATGCGCGTCAGCATCCGCTGACCCCGCTCCGTCAGTTTACGTGGCCTACCTCTTCGTGGCTGAGTTGCTGTCGTTCCCAAACACTTCCATTTTCTTATAATACAGCTGACAGTTGACTGTGGAATATTTAGGAGCGAGGAAATTTCACGACTGGATTTGTTGCACAGGTGGCATCCTATCACAGTTCCACGCTGGAATTCACTGAGCTCCTGAGAGCGACCCATTCTTTCACAAATGTTTGTAAAAACAGTCTGCATGCCTAGGTGCTTGAATTTATACACCTGTGGCCATGGAAGTGATTGGAACACCTGATTCCAATAATTTGGATGGGTGAGCAAATACTTTTGGCAATATAGTGTATATAGACGTGAACTATGAGGAACTATGAATCTAATGAGGGAAATCTATCAGAGGCAGACGGATCTGGGCTCATATTCCTCTGAGTCATCTCCCACTGATGGCATCGATGCGTTCAGGCTGACAAAATGAGGAGAAATAGTTCAACTAATCAGTGAGGTGAAAGAAGGACTGACCGCATGGAGACAGACTGATGGGGAAACTCTGCTTTCTCATTTCTGCTCTCAATGAAAGTCGATGCAGTCGCTCTGTTTGGATCAGACCAAAGTGTTTAACAGAAGTGTTGAACATAATAGAGATGCTTCTGCTTGTCTATTATGTGCTGATTCATCAGTGTGTGTGTGTGGGGGGGTCCCATGCTTGGTCAAACCGTGGGTATCCAAGCGAGGAGCTCGATAGCAGAAGAGTGGAGCTCAGAGGGAGGCTCAATGAGAAAATCAATGACCAGTTTGGAAAATAATTGACTGAAACACAGAAGCAAAACTCTACAGCGGCCTGCTGGTTCTGGACGCTTCGTCTCTTCAGCTTTATTCTTTATTACTGCAGGTTGTTTCTGCTCCAACCGGTGAACAGCAGCTTGCTGATCCGATCTGAGCGTCGCTAAACGCACTGAAGCTCCTTTTCTGGGGTGAGAGGAAAGAAAAAGCTTCAAACTTAAAGAAATCCACCAAAATGTTTCATACAATTAAAGATATTTCTGATTTAAACATAATTATATAAGGTTATTTACTGCTGAATTTATAGGCATCATCTATTCAAGCATGTTTACATTTTAACAGCATTAACCCCCCCCCCCCCACACACACTTAAGCAGACAGCAACAATACGTTTGAAAACAAACGATGCAAAGAGCAGTGTTACTAACTTAGCGCTTTAGACCTCTCTAGCACTTTGATTTCTAAAAAGCTCCTAGCGCCAAATCTAGAGACTTTTTTCTGCTACTGGAGACTTTGGAGACAACATCTAAAAGCAGCGAACTCTGCTCTCCAGAGCGAGTAGATTGGTAACCCCGCCTCCTGCTCTCCTCTATCTTGTCTGCTGTCATGATTCATGCAGCTATTATTTCATCCAAATGAAAAATGGAGAACAGATAAGCAGATCATGGCTTGTCTACAGTGAAAAGAAGGACTGGGTTATTTACTTTGGCCTTTTTGGAAACACAGGAAGGAGCAATCAGCTAAGTGAGCTTAGTGCTTGGAAAAAATCTTTCATTCCTTTAGAGACAGCATGAAAAGTCAGCTGAGTACAAAACATAGAGAGGAAAACAAGAAGAAAAGGGACAAGAAGAGAGGGACACAACCTAGAACAGATAATGGATGTCTATTCTATTAACATTTCTCTATCTGTAGAATGGGTCTGTTCTATGTGTTGTCTTCTCCATTCAGAGGGGCCCCTGCCTGTCTTTGCCTAGGGCCCCATATTTCCTAAATCCGCCCCTGAATAGACTGTGCTTAAATTGAATTGAATTCCTCTCCTATGCAATAGTTTTGCTCATTCAGTGCGTGTCTGATGTGTGATCAACTCAAACTGCGTTGCAAACTGCTATGTCAGCCGTGCTACGCGCTTTGATCCATGTGTTCACTCACGCTGCAGCCCGATGGCAGACTCTGTCCTTGGTGCTGAATGAACCATATGTAGCTGATAAAATATCTGCCTGTATGGATTTAATTACTTCCAGCGCACATAAGGGGGTTAAAAAAACTTTGAATTTTTTCCAAAGGAATCCCTGAATTATATCCAGATTAAATGTTCTGCTGCTAATGTTTATGTTTTAATAAAGTCTCTTATTGAAAGGCACAAAGATCATCTTTAACTATTTCTCTCTTTCTTCCTGCTTCTATCTATTCAAATAAGAGGGAATTGTTTTCCTGTAGTTTTCCCTTTCAATATTTTAACATTTTATTTTCCATTAAATTAAGCTCTGCATCGTTTGCAGGTTGTCTGTGTATTTTTCTTATATAAGACCCCTATGAAATGATTATCATGTAGGCTATTGTGTATAGATATGTAGGTTATATACGTCTCAATCTGAACAAAAAGAAAATTCATGCAGGGATGATACTTTATTAAGTATCATTCTTTCTGATAGTTAATAAAGTATCAGAAAGAATGTCTACTTTCACCTCTGGTGGCAACATTATCTTATCAGTTTATCCAAAGAGGCTGAAATGAATATATCTACAGGGGATCTAGCGGGTTATCTACTGCAAAACAGAATCAAAGCAACTAGGAAAAAATTAAAAAATAAATGAAATAAAAGGAAAAATGCAGAAACAAAAAACAATATTAAAAACAGTTGGACTAAAGAAAATAAAAAGTTGAACTATTTATGTTTCAGTTGAACTGTTTAACTGGAACAGTCGAAGGCAATCCTAAACAAAAGTGTTTTTAGTCTTGATTTAAAGGAACTCAGGCTTTCCGCACTTTTACAGTTTTCTGGAAGTTTGCTCCAGATAAGCGGAGCATAGGAACTAAATGCTGCTTCTCCATGTTTAGTTCTGGTTCTAGGTCTGCAGAGCAGGCTGGAGCCAGAAGACCTGAGTGGTCTGGAGGGTTGATACACTGATAGCAAGTCTGTGATGTATTTAGGTGCTAAGCCATTCAGAGATTTATAGACTAACAGAAGGATTTAAAAGTCTATTCTCTGAGATACAGGGAGCCAGTGGAAGGACTTTAGAACCGGGGTGATGTGCTCTACTTTCTTAGTCTTAGTGAGGACATGGGCAGCAGGTTATTCTTCAGGTTATAGAAAGCCCACCTTGTAATTGTCTTTAAATGCTTTTGGAGGTTCAAGTCTGAATCCAGCACTACACCTAGATTTGGGGCCTGATCAGTGGTTACTAGCTGAAGCGACTGAAGCTGTGTGCTAACTTTAGATCTCTCCTCTATTGGTCCAAAGATTAT